CGAACAAGTAGGCTAAAGCTCTGTCGTGCTCTAGCGGATATGAGCCTCTTTGAAAGATGAACGGCTGAAATGGGCTCCCTTTCGTTTAAAATGAAAGTCAAGACTCACGGACCACTGACTGGGCCAGTGCACAAAAGAAGCTATACAATGCCACACGCTTGTACAGATATTGTAATGATGCACATGAAGACGAAAGGACGAGTGGTATCATTAATCTCATAAATACACAACTGGCACAATGTACCCAGCTTGCGAGAGATAGCTGCCACATAGCAACAGAGAACCGTGGCAACGTTCTCTCTCTCGCTTTCTCTCAAGAAGGCGGGTCAGAATGACGGAGTAGGCACGCTTCTAAACATTCCTTTTTATTGTACAGGGATAACACACACGCACGACATTTTTAAGGGGTGATGGTGAGAAGAAGCTAAATTCTGAGGAGGAGCACGAGAAATTAAGAAAGACATACCACAGCTATTAGGCTAGGCTATAGCTCTATGATAATTTAACAACTCTCAATATTCTCAATAATTTTTAGCAGACGCTCTTATCCAGAGCGACTTACAGTTAGTGAGTGCATACATTTACATACTGGCCCCCCGTGGGAAACGAACCCACAACCCTGGCGTTGCAAGCGCCATGCTCTACCAACTGAGCTACAGGGGACTATATCCTGACAATTATCCTGAATAGCATTCTCTTTTGCAATGATCATGCAGCTCACATCCAACTCCAAATCCATCCAACCACAGGACGAATGTAAATGAGGCGCCCTTTAGGAAATTGAGAGCAGTCAACTTTTTTCCGAGTAGATTTGTTTTGTCTTATTCTGAAACTTGTGCATTTAATTCAGTAAAATTTTTTGTTTCTCGGGTAATTTTGTTTTTGTGTGTGTTACCCTTTGAACCCGGGGGGACGTGGGCATGCGACACTGTAACGGTGCACTCAAGCACCTTCCCGGCTGCGGCGCCACGAGCACATTGGTCTCCTGAGCCAGCTTTGCAAGGGCTTAGCGTGTAGTAGGCTATTTACCATAGGCCTATGTGAAGTGTAGGCAATGTGTGAAGGAGATGAATGGAGGAGTAAAGGGTGTATTTTATAATCACAATAGCCAAGGAGAGGGAGTACCTTCAAAGAAGGCCTAATCCTTAACTTAAGCAAGGTCACCTGTATCACCTGAGTGGCCAGCATTTGTTAAGTCAAAGTTCTGTCTCATCCATCCATAGGCTACAGTAAAATGAGGAGATACATGAATCTAAATACTGTCAGGTCAGCGTTGGTTAGTCAGGTTTATAGTTCTGATAGCCAAGAGATAGGCCTAGAGCTAATGATCCCTCAAGCTGGCACCTGCTCACCTGACACCACCGTTTCATTGATCTGTCAAAATTGGTGATAGATGCAGCTTGGCAAATTATGTTAGAATGTCAAGGAGGGAAACCTTTCATGCAGAAAAACATTTTTCCAAAATAATATCGGAATTGGCCTCATAACCTTTCCAACGGTCTGTCTTGAGTTTGTGCAGAGTTGAACTATCCAGAATATCGGTGGTTTCTCTGCCTGTTGTCCTTGCTTTTAGGCTCTCGAGTGTCTCGTGCGTGTAAAATATGACTCTCCACTAGCACCCGGGTTCGCTCTCTCACAACAGGGACTTGCGCCTTTACAATCCGCCTCTCTATCCCTCACAGTGCAGCCTGCTTTCCAGCTTCCCCCTGCATGTCACATACCCTGACCCGGAAGACAGAGGGTAGGGGTGAAGCAGGGAGGGTGATATTTAAATCTTATCTGACGCATTGTAGGCTATTAGTTTCAAAATACCTGAAATCCAGCTTCTCGTCTGATTGAAAAGAGAGAGAGCATTTTTCCGTTAAAGCAGGAATGACTTTCACTTATTGTTGAATTCCATTGAATAAAGGTTCAAACCGCAGCCAAAGAAGATAGTGACCGAAACCGTTGAACTTGAGGAAAGGAGGATCCAATCCCCGCTTTACTTATACTTAGTCCGAACTGCATCTCCATTCTATAATTATCCTCAGCTCTCGTTGTGCATTGCTCTGAACGGACAGTATAGTTGTGTGTCACACCACAGAGTAGCCTAGGCACAAAGTATTGTCAAGATGTAGCATATTTGAAAATCTGTTATCTGTTTAAATGTTACTGAGAGCCTATTTAACTTTTTTCAAAGCATAGGCCTATTCCTATTTGTAGCCTATTGCATGTGGCATTTTTTCATTCTAGCACACATACATTTTAAAAAAATGAAATTGAGAAATTGTGCTTTAGTTTCACTGGACAGCTGCTAATGGGAATTACAGTATCGTAGCGTTATCAAATGCAAAGTAGGCCATTTCATTGAGAAATGGCGAGGATGGTTGTTTTTAGCTAAAAGCTGCAAGAGCAGTTTAACTTTAGGATCATGGAGGGATCACATGTGCAGAATGCTCACCATTCCAATTAAGTATAGGCATATCATCATTATAGTAGCCTATTTTTAGCCTATATTTTCAGACAAGGCAATAATAGATCATTTCTGAAAACTAGACTATTAATAATGATGATTGCTTTATAACAATAAAACAATGACGAAACAATAGCATAATAGTATAGTCTAGTAGGCTATAGTGTGTGTATATAGGCTAGTCTATATGCTAATAATAAAATAATAATAATAGCCTAACAATAATTTATTTTGACTTTGAAAATGTTTCATTTTCATTTTTTTTTACCCAATTCAAAATAATTTGATCCCACAAGCATCCCACAAGTCCTCTGAAACGGTGCCACCTTCCCGTGGCTGGGCTCTGTTGTGCAGGACCGGTTGCCTCTCTCGCCTCTTCAATCCAGGCTAATTACCAATGACCAGGGACCATCTCTCGGCGGAGCGAACTCACACCGTGGCACTCTATCTGCGGCGCGCCCCACATGGACAATGGGAGAGCGATGAAGCGCGGTGGGAACAAACAGGTTAGCAGCGCAAAGCCATGTCGCGACATTTGTTAATTATCAATGTGATTACTCCTGCTCTGAATGCCTTTTTTATTTCCAAAAGGTACCCATCCCATCTTTACGAAGACCCTTTGCTATATATAGCACAGGGCACAGCGGAAAAATAACTATTGTCCAGTAGCATAGTGACAATGTCATCAGAATTGTAGGCCCTATGTCTCAGAACAAATCCACTCTGATGACTATATCTCTGGCTATAGGCTAATCAACTTATTTATATTGCCTGCTACTTATAACATTGTAATAACAGGTAGAGAGGGAACTGATGATACCACTTTGACCTCAATCCAATCAGGAATGATGTTGACAGCAAGAGTGCATTAAACAGATATTTTTCAGCTATGTTGTGCTCCCCCAGGCTGTGTCCACTCCATAGTCCATCAGACTGCAGTTCTCTGCTTTATTGATTGCGTTTCAAATGAGACCCAAAGTGTTCTCTGGGGTCAAATCAAATCCCTGGTCGGGCTAGTGTGACCAAATCTCGGTCTCGCTGTCTTCTGTCGCCACTGGATCTATGTAGACACATTTCTAAACCACATCAAAGGTCAAAAGACTGTACTTTATTCATTATTAATGCCACTATAGTGAATATCTATTGCAGTCCTCCCAATAGAGAGTGTCTTTGAACGTGTTCCTCGAGTTCATCCTTTGGGACGTAAGCAGATCTCGTGCTCCCCCATCTCCCTACTTTAAGTATTATTAAAAGTTAATTTCCTGATTATTATTTTTTTTTCTCCTCTAAAATGCGGTGACGTCAGGGAGCGGCGTCAGATAGGCGGCTAGTCGAGCTCCCTCGTCACAATATTCCCTGTCATTCCTATTCACTCTCCCGCCTTGGTCTGCTATTGACCGCTCACACACCGCTGGATTGTAGTCCGGACAAGCAGGGTTAGTCACTGAATTATTCACTGTTGTCAAGTGTTTCTGCAGGACGCGAAGCGACCAAGGAGTGGCGATAGGTAGCCTATTACAAATCTATTTGGAGGAGCTATGACACCATATTACATCCATATTACATACCAGCTACAATGTGCCACCCCGACTCCATCAAACAGTTTCTCTACAAACATGCATCATTCTCTCATGTGAGTACTCAGGTTTGATAGGTGCGACAACATTTTTGTAAAGCTTTACCGGCGGGATAACGAGGATACTGCTCTCTCACAGCCATCACAGACCAGTGGCGATACTGTGTCTTTGCGACCATGACTGAGCTGCTGGGTTCTTTGGGGCAGTTTTTATTGTGACCACATAGCCTACTAAACAAACCCCATTTAGTGGCCCTCTATGGCTGTGGACCACTATGGCTGGTACTTACCCCCTGTGCGCTACTGACCCGCCAGTCAAAGAAGGCATTAAGATGTAAAGCAGCGTGTGATCGCCCCTGATTCACAAACAAAAAACATGTTTATGACATTACTGGTAATTAAAGACAATTAGGCATAGCCTAAAGACAGACAGGCATCCACAGACATCACACTGGCCTACACCACAGCGTCATATAGTTGGCATATAGTTTAATTTAGCCTAAATACAAAATATAAATACTCATGAGTAGCCTATTTATGGAAATCTTTTTTTATTAAAATATAAAGTGATCATTACATTTACATTTACATTTTAGTCATTTAGCAGACGCTCTTATCCAGAGCGACTTACAGTTAGTGAGTGCATACATTTTTCATACTTGGCATCATTACACTTGGCATCAACAAATACATTTCTCCCGTGGTTGAGAAAGCATTGGTGTGGGCGGTGGCCCGAGGCTGCATCTTTAATAAGGTGACCCTGTTGATTAATACGTCCTGGGATCAGTGGGATGAGACCAGTAAGGCCTACACTACAGGGGCCATGGCTGTTTGCTCGCTGGTGCTTGGGCTGGAGAGGGTGAATGGCATGGAATCGGCGAAGGCAGAATCCAATTGGATGTCGCGGTGTCAACGCTAAATCTAAGACCCTGCCCCTGCGCACATGATATGGAATTCACTGGCGCCAGTGCTGACAGTTATTTCAGCTGCATGTTGCTAAAGCCCTATCCGTCTCCAACGGAGTTTACCCAGCCGATAACCCTGCACCAAAACCAAGGAAAACAGACCAAAGATATTCTGGAGAAGTTGAGTCAATACAGGAAAGGAAAATACATTTGCTAACTGAAGGAAAATTATCTCAAGGGACTTGAAAACGGAATAACCAAACCTGAGACAGACAAGGTATTTGCATGAAATCTATATTATTTATTTTCCTAGTTGTGTGTGAAAATATATGACTTCTAACTCTGTAAGAATGTTAACTGTTTGTTCTGAGTGGGCTACTGACGACTATTAGTTTACTAGCTAGCCTATGACGGGTAGGCATGGGTTCAAAAGTACAGCCTACTAATCTGCGCGCGTAACGGTGAGGATGGCTCGGTGATTTCAGGTTCCTCGGAATGGGAGTGGTTGGGGACGAGTGACTCGATGTCTTTATCTTATGTTGGATATTCACACGCATCACTTACAAAACGCACCTAAAAAGGAGCAGCCTTCCGGAGTTCTTCTCTTAGGACTGGACGGCCACACAGAGATAACCACGCAACACCTTGTAAATGCCTCTGAAATATTAACATCCTATTTTTGGTTGTATTACAGTTAGGAGTCCAGTGTTAAACACGACTTGATGCCTGTTGAAGAAGGAGTGACAAGAGGAGCTCATCGGAATATGAGTTAGGACCGACGTATTGGAGATTGACTAACGCAAATTCTTAACAAATTTATGTTTTGTTTTCCACAATAGGAGGACATTTTTATCAGGAGAGGGAGACGCGTTTTATGAAAGAAAAAGCGGAGAGAGGACGGTTCAGGAACACACTGTCCTCTCCCTAGAGAGGCTCCTCTTCTCTTTTCACCCTGTTTGCCCCACACGGAGAGACCCATACAGACATGGATGTAGGGGCTGATCCGCCTCGGTGGATGCACCACCATGCCGTGCTGAACGGCCAACACCCGGACTCGCACCACCCTGGCCTTTCGCACAACTACATGGAGCCCACCGCACAACTTCTGCCCCCGGACGAGGTGGATGTTTTCTTTAACCATCTTGACTCGCAGGGAAACCCGTACTACCACAACTCAGCTCATGCGCGGGCCAGAGTGTCCTACAGCCAAGCTCACGGTAAGACCTCAAATTCACTTTGCTAAGTAACTTACATTTCAGGATAAAGCAGGAATTATTGTGGGCCTATATTCATTTAATATTTTCGTCAAAATTGTCAGAGCGGATTAGAGCCTATTTTTCTCAAATCAATAAAACATTATTAAAGGCTTCTTCTGCAAAAGAGGTCCTGCATGTTCCAATGCACTTACTAGACCAGATATCCAGATATCTTTTTTTATCATAAAAAAAATAAAATAACAAACATTTCTGGGGTTATCGTTTCTCTGTTTTTGTCTGAATACCTGCAAACTGTGTATTTTGTGCCCCTCACGAATCGAATAATACCTTTTACGCACAATGAGGGATTATTGTCACTGTGCATCAACAGGTGAATGACTGGTGTCCCAACTTTCTCTAATCCTATGACATCACATAATCAACAGGGCAATGACAGTTGTAATAACCATATAATTAGTCTGTTTGTGTAGGCCTATGTATTCCATCTAAAAACATATTTTTCAACTCTTCTTCCAGCTCGCCTCGCTGGGGGTCAGGTCTGCCGGCCACATCTCATCCATAGCCCGGGAATTTCATGGCTAGAGCCCGGCAAAGCAGCCCTCTCAGCGGCCCACCATCACAACGCATGGGCGGTCAGTCACTTCAGCAAGACCGGGCTGCATTCCTCAGGCTCCGGGGCTCCGGGCGGCCTATATCCCTGCAGCAGCAACGCCAGCACCGCCTCGGCCTCCTCGTTAACGCCCGCATCCCATTCGAGTCCACATCTCTACAGTTTCCCCCCTACCCCGCCGAAAGATGTCTCCCCAGACCCCGGGGCCACCTCTCCCTTGTCCTCTACCCCGAGAATGGACGAGAAGGAGTCTATCAAGTACCACATGTCCCTTTCTGACGGCATGAAGATGGAGGGTTCCAGTCCTCTCCGGAGCAGCCTGACCTCAATGAGCGCCCAGACCCCCTCCACGCACCACCCCATACCGACCTACCCCACGTACTCTCTCCCGGCAGCGCATGACTACGGGGGCAGTCTCTTCCACCCTGGCAGCCTACTCGGAGGATCATCCTCCTGCTTCACCCCGAAATGTAAAAGTAAAACTCGGTCGTGCTCAGGTGAGTCTCCTCTCAACTCTAAAATGTGGCATTTCAAATGTTTGTACTACAGAACAAAAGGATGATGACATAGCCTAATGACGATGGCAATACTTTATATTAATATTATTATTATTATTATTATGATTGTGATTATGATTATGATTATGATTATTGTTATTATTGTTATTATTATCATCATTATTATTATCATTATTATTATGACAGAACACACCGAAATTACGTTGTTTGACTAGGCTTATAGGCTAGGTATATTTATATTTTAGCGTTATCACAGGTTTGTTGTATCTAAACCCATAATTGAGTTAAAAACAAATAGCATATGTTAAAACAAGAATAATATGAAATATTTGTCCTATGCCATGTTTATATTAAGGAGAAAGTGTATCGAATGATTGCCACTGATAGCAAACTAGAACACAGTTTAAACTAAAAACAGAAACTTCGGCAATTTTTAGACCAAAGCTACTTATGTAGGTATAAATATATATTAGCCTATAAAAATACATATATAATAGCTAGCCTAGAATTAATATATTATTTTATATAATAATTGATATATTAATGCCTATGTTTATTGAACATGCATGAGAACATTTTCCCAAATATGCTGTTCTATAAGACTGGTCATTTGTGACAAATATTCTGAATGAAACGTCTTTGGCATTTTCAAAACCTCCAGTTTAATGCAATTTGATTTACTTGGTTAGCAAACTTTCCATTAACGTCCTTAGAAAAGGGTGACAATTCATTACAATAAGCCTCGACGTGGGGTGTGCAGGGATAATTGGGATGAGGTTACATCTTATCTGGGTGCATGTTGTCAGCAACTCCTTTCATAGCTATTTTCACACACACCGGTTTTTTTTGTATCCAAAAGTAAACACAATCCGCTTCAAAGAACCAGTAGGAAACTGTAGGCCCCTACACACATACACATAAAGCAGTGTCACATATCCACATAATAGTAATCCTGTATGTGAATTGCTTTACATAGCCTATGGATGAAGAATGGTATCTCAATCTTTTCATCCCCATGAGGACAAAAGCAGATATTATAGTTAACTATAATAGACTAATTATATATAAAAAGTCTATCAATAACTGTTCATTTGTTATAGGGGGGGGGGGGGGGGGGGGACAGATACACCAATAAGATGTGGTTTGAGGTTATGATATACAGTGTCCTCTTCGTCGATTTTGTCTGGCCTTATTTATGCAGTCACGTTTTTAAACAGTAGGCCTACTCCCTATAGGCCTACCGTTTCCTCTTTATTAGGCCAATTGATCATATCAAATCTGCATATTTTTTAACAATACAAATCGGTAATATCCACATATGTAGTATAATTATAATGATAGGCTTCGTCTAATAATGATGAGAAACCCTTCTTATTGTAAGCTGTGAAGACACAACTTTCCCAGTGTCCCAGGTCTGAGTAATGAAGGGCCTAGGCGAATAAATTGCTTAAGCCTATTTGGTTGGAAGGGACAGGTAAAGCATACTGCCACGCCTCACGCACCGCACACAACCAAGACCTGTCGTTTGGCTGCGCGCGGGCGCGCTTTGTCTGACACGTTTATTATCCTCTTTTGTAAACCGCGACTCAATTACGCTCGAGCTGGCTCGCCCTTGAGAATGGCGAACTAGATGTGAAAAGAAGATCTGCTTGCGCATATAGCCAAAAACCTCAGTATTTACAATTAGCCATTTCTTTGTTACATAATATAACATTGTCAAGACTTACATTTGGCAATCAGGCTGAGCTGATTGCCTTCAAGCAGCCCCCTATCTTATAAACTGTCTCTCTTATACTGAGCACCAGTATTAATTTGTTAGAGAAAGAAAGCGGCAACAAAAAAATCAATTCACCACATTTCAGAAATAGGGATTAAATGTCTCAACATAAACACCAAGAGTATTCTTAAAAATAAAATAAAAACATCTGTCACTGTGGTATTATGGTCATTCTCAGACAAAGGCACAACTTCCATCAGGAAGACCCAGCTAGGTGTTTGGTAGTGAATCCTCCTTCCTGATAGATCCTGATAGATTGATGTGTTAGGGGCTCTCCCTGACATCATGCAGGAATAGTCTGTCCTGTTTCTAGGAGCCTTTCTCTGTAGGGATGTCCAGTACTGGTGCCTTGCAGGACCATAGAACGCTATAGCGTCACACTATTATGGTGAAGGCCCTGATCATGCATACCTTAGAGGCACTTCCTGTTTGACTAACCCTAATCCAGGCCCCCTTCCTCTCTCTCCTCTCAGTCTCCCCCTTTTTTCTCTCACTCCTTCTCTGGCTGTCCATACTCAGCATTATCTGGAGACACCAACAGAGGCAAAGGCCCACAAGCACGCTAGTATTACCTCTACTAATCTAGACTGACAATATGATCCACATTATAAGCAGCACAAACATGTAAAAATGGCTACCTTTCTTTGCACTGTGGTTAGGTTACTTTGAATAAGGAATGGTCACCTTTCCTAAGAATTCCGATTTAAAGTGATTCAGAGCAGGCCATTATTTAGCCTATATAAAGATGAGCTGATGAGGCTGAGAGAGGAACAGGGAGATGTTGATTATCAGACCATCTTTGCCACATCTACATGCACACACACACACACACACACACACACACACAAACACACACACAAACACACACACACACACACACGGTCATCTACTAAAGGTTGATTTTTACCCTACTGTATATACGGGGAGGAAAATCATTGCAATCAATGTTCCCTCCATTTTATTCCAGCTCTGAGCAAATTTCAAGTCTGCTGAGTGCAAAGTTGAACATTGTGAAAATTCTGTGCAACTTCTGCCGTGCGTTTACTGTGAACACTGAGGCTGTACCCACTTTAAGTTACAGTTTTAACAGTGGCCAAGTAAGCTACTGTGGCTATTTGATCATAATGTAGGCCTACCAGAGTGGCCTACCATCAAAAACAATGGAGAAAAATGCATCCCATAACATTTTAACATGGAAATAGCTGTTCTATCATTCAGCCTACAGTAGCAGCAAATGTGTGTTGTTCAATGTAGGCCTACATTTAATGAGACTTTTGAAAAAAACATGCAGGGTTTGACATTAACCTGTTTATCCACTTGTCCTTTAGACATGGAGGTGACTGAAAATATTGTGTTGTTTGATGCAAGAAACCACTTTACAAAATAACATTCATTTTTATTCCAATACCATTATTACAGAGAATCAGACAAATTATGCTACCCTCTACGTATTGCAGAGCTTATTCAACCTTCAAGACCACTCAAAATACAACACAGCTCTTGCATCTACTTGTGACCACTTATGCAGCACTCATGCAGTTCAGTTCAAAGTGAATGGCACAGATCCATATATGGCAATGGCTATTCGCATATATATGTCTACTGCAGCTCTGATTAGTTATGGTGCACCGGTCTGTGTAGAGCAGGTTTGCCCAACCCTGTTCCTGGAGAGCTACCCTCCTGTAGGTTTTCACTCCAACCCCAGTTGAAACTAACCTGATTCATCTTATCAACCTGCTAATTATTAGAATCAGGTGTGCTAGATTAGGATTGGAGCAAAAACCTACAGGACGGTAGCTCTCCAGGAACAGGGTTGGGCAGTCCTGGTGTAGAGTATGGGCCTGAGTCGTGCTTGTCAATGCAGTAGAATCCTACTCCAATGCGCTCTGCCTACAAGAAAATGTATTGCATAGTTCATTTTGTTTCAGTATGTTACATTGGAAGTGGCTAATATTGTGTTGAATCGAGCACAATTCCCACAGTAGAGCGAAACGTTGATAGAGTTAATTCAAGGGGAAAACTCTAGAAAGTTGAGTGAAGTTCAATCTTGTGCTTCTCTGTGCGTGCTGATATTTCTTCTGCATGGCACAGTTTAGTGGGAACATTGATTGCAATCACAGCAAAATGAACAGAAACGTGAGAGATAGTCTGCATTTCATTGTGGGTGTACGGGTGCCCCTGTCTGAAACATACCTGGGTCCCAGCTGACCCAAAACGGACAGGGAGGAACTTAACCAGATCAAACAGAACAAAGCCTGGCCACAGCATTTTCATGTTGTTATTCCAAGAGTCTGCAGAGGGTTAAACACACACTTTCTCTCTCTCACACAAACTTCAAACCAAAATCACTCAGCTTTCTCATATACATATGAATTCAAGAACAGAACTAGAGAGTATAACTTAGAAACTAAAAATGAATTCTCAAAACTTTTCCCATGCTTCGGTGCACCTAAAAATATGCAGTCCTGGCATAGCGTTCCAGACAAACTTACATTACATTTTTCTAAATTGTATATTTCACTGCTACAGGTTACAGAGTTTTTGTGTATGATAAATGTGCCAGAGTTGACAGGTTAATTTTATAAATGTCCCTGTGCTCTCCCTCCACCTGCATGCTGCTCAGAGGGGCGTGAGTGTGTCAACTGTGGAGCCACCTCTACCCCGCTGTGGCGAAGGGATGGTACGGGCCACTACTTGTGTAACGCCTGCGGCCTGTACCACAAGATGAACGGTCAAAACCGACCCCTCATCAAGCCCAAACGTAGACTGGTGAGTACCACGGAACCCCACCCCACCCCCCCACACACACACGCGCACACATACACACACAGAGAGAGCATGGAGTGCAGAGGCAAATAAGAGCACAAGGTGGAGGAGACGGACGAGGAGGGCCACAATTCCAGGAAAGTTATATTTTCCCAATCAGTTTCCGGGAATTGTGTTTCCCACTCACCCCTGTGCTCCTGTACACAGGCTGTTAGCTGAGTGCAGCTAACTGTGTTGTTTCTGCTATCGTTATTGTTGCTACTTCTGATACTGTCACTGATACCAGGGCCAGTGCAGGCCTCTATATCATCCCTCACTATACAGCTCACTGTTGCTGTCTGCTGTGGAGGCTGTGTGGGCGACTGGTGCACCACACACCTTGTGTTATTCAGTCACTTTCTGCCCTTATACCAGTCACACATACTGTATTAGGTAATAAAAAGGAAACATTATAGACCTATGTGTTTCTTTTCTCTGTGAGTGAATATATGTGACTTGTTTGCAACACACTTGTCTTTCTGGCAAATGCTGGACTGGGCCTGCTTGGCTGCTTGGCTGATGTCACATTGTGTACTTCTCATCATGAACTCATTTCAACATCAATGTTGTGTTTTCCTCTGAGTTCAGCAGCCAGGTCAGATCCAGACTGATATAGCCCAGTCAGACAGCAGTTCAATGGACTATGTAAATGTTGTAATTACTGAAAACAGTCATCTTAGACTTAATGTGCTGGTGACTCCATTGATTGCAATTGTTTTCTTCATTTGTTGGGGTTAAAATTAAAATATATTCTTTACATGTTACAGTATCTATAGCCCTGAGCTAATCAGACTTTAAAGCACTTGGTCTCAACAGTAACATATGCGCAATGAAGATGGCACATATATGAAACTCTGCGATGGAGGGAATTGATATGATGACCCAATGAGATGTAGAAACCAGAAGATATAGATAAGAACAGAACATCAGATGTGATTTAGATTATATTATATTGCGTGATGGCCAGTCGGATTTGCATCAAATACAAAAAGCAAATAAATACGTTTCTCTATGGCCTGTTGAAAGATAAATGAGGGACAAAAAAATTATATGCATAAATGACAAAATAACTCGATTCAAGATATGATCTGAATATTTCCTGTATTTCTAACATTTTGAATAGCCCACAGCTACCGTTAGCGGGCGTAAACCTATTTGCATGTAGACTAATACATCAATAGCATAAGAAGAAGAAGAATGGTAGACATAATGTAAAATAGCAAATAATAATAACCATAAAAGTATTTCACTGAGCTATAATTTCACTCGGCTCATAACCTCTCGATAATTGATTTATTCTGGCAACTCGTGGTTGATTTTCGCAAGAGTATTTTTAGAGAAATTACTGTAAAACGAACTGAGCCTATCAGTGGGAGATCCATCTATAGAAATGAAATACCTATGGCTTATTTTCTGGTAATTCATATTTGAAAATTGGATGTAGGCCTAATTAGGGTATGCCTATTCAAATGATTTATGAATTGGTTCCCAAATGTCTCAGGATGCATAATAGGATTATTCATATTTTAATCAAAGGCTACGGATACTAGCATTGAAACGCATTTATGGTTGAGACACAAATAGGTTATTTAGGCCTACATAGAGTATTTCATGTCGACTACGTTTTTTTTAAGGACCATCCTAAAGATCATATAATCCTGTGAGCATCTTGATAAGAGAATGGTCGAGAAAATATGGCTGAGGCCAATACAGACTATTGACATACGTTTTCACAAGGTCTCAGCCGACGGCATAGAGACTGCACAGATCTGAATCAGCCAATGCTGGCTATACAAAAGGCATCACCAACGAGACTATTTAGAGACATTTGAATACTATCTGAAACATTTGAACACTATCGTGACTTGAGCTACTTTACATTGTAAGCAGCAACGCCATAGGCCTAGGCTATGAATCTTTGTGCCTTGACAAATAATAGAAGTCCAAAGGATATCCCTGGACCACAATCAATATTGCCTAAACGTGCATGAAAAGCATAATAACGTGTAATACTTTTCCCTTTGGTGCTAATGTCTGAAAAATCCATTCGATTTTTTTCCCATACAAGTCAGCATCTTGATAAGAGAATGGTCGAGAAAATATGGCTGAGGCCAATACAGACTATTGACATTCGTTTTCACAAGGTCTCAGCCGACGGCATAGAGACAGCCGACAGCATACTGCTTTTGTAGCTACTTTTCAGCTCGCGTGTTTTCAGTGCTCGCGCAGGGGCCTTCCAGTTATTTCCTATATCCGGATATCTGCCGGTACGGATAAGGAAGCGGGGCCAGCGCATGTTTCCGTCCGTGGTGCGCTAACTACACTTAAATTTCTATAGCAGTGGTCAAGCCGGTCAGTCCTCATCTCACAGCATACAGTAAAGTGGATTGGCACAACATTTCAGGCCCCGTTACGTGCAGAGAAAAAAAGCGAGGGATATCGAGATGCAGGCAGGGCGCACGGGGGGGAGGTGAAGTAAATGGATTTATGCCCTGCTGCCTGTCGGGCCAAGGTTAGGGCTCGAGCCTAGACTTATTTACTTGGAGATTTGTTTATATAGGGCCTGGTTTACACAAATTGGGGCGTTTCCCGGGGGGGGGGGGCAGTATGAAAATGTATGCACTCACTAACTGTAAGTCGCTCTGGATAAGAGCGTCTGCTAAATGACTAAACATTTTAAAATGTAGGTGTGTAGGGCCATGCACTATTCTGACTGAGGGTTCAGATTACCATATTTCGCTATAGGGGTATACTTGTAAATGTCTCATATTATTAAGTGTGAAGAAACCATCTGTAATAGCAGGGGATCGCAGGCAGCCCGGACACTGGAGGGCCTATATCACCCCTCGCTACCTAATCTCCATTCAATAGCAATGCTTTGCATCTGAGAGGAAGACCTTTGATAGTCAGTGTTCATCACTACTGTGTCTGTGAAATGAAAACGATTTCTCATGCTGGGAGAAATATAGACAATCCATTACTTTCTTATATGATCTATTCAGCATTACTTTTATAGTAACCCCATGATTTATTATAATACTATCTAGCCAATGCGTGCTGGCAGCTGAAAATAACTGGATAATTACAAAAAATAGTCCTGTTATTATCGTATTCGGAAAATTATCCATATCTGTTAAGATACTCGTTTTGTCCGAGTACTCGGCACACTCCTTGTTAATAGAGACCAATTAATTCACACATTAACAATACAACTATTTGGTGTATGTCACGGATCCCCCGGTACTGCTGCTCATTCCGTTCATAAGTTCCGGAGGTCTACGTCACCGGCTTTCTAAGGCGTCACAGACATGGATCATTACCACCAACCCCGGACTGTCTTGTCTCATTACGCACACCTGGTTCCCATTCCCCCTGATTAGTATGTGTATATATGTGCCTACCTCTTTAAGGAATACCTGGAATAGTATACCAGTAATCCTTCTACCCTCCCTCCCCCACCCCCCCATTTTATTTTTATTTTATTTATTATAAAACAAATTACAAATTAAATAAAACATATTTTTTTTAAAGGAGTGGTTGTCCCACTGGCTATCCTAAGTTGAATGCACCAATTTGTAAGTCGCTCTGGATAAGAGCGTCTGCTAAATTACTTAAATGTAAATGTAGAATGTAAATGTTCCCCGTTGTTCTTGTCGATTATTGTCCCCTGTCCGTTGGTCTTGTGAGTACCGGTTATAATGCTCTTGTTGTTTACGGGTCTCGTCCCGTGTAATGTGTAGAGGTTACACCTCGCTCTTTGTTTGGGTTACATCCCTTTTGTATATATATACGTGTTTGTGTTGGATGGAGTAAATAAAACCCCTAATACGTATTCCTGCGCCTGTCTTCAAATCATTATACAACGTGACAGTGTATTTGATAAATATTCTGTCTGGGAATGTAAAGACCTGATAAATTTTTATTGCATACTTCCTTCAGTATTTCATGGCATTGCAATAAACTATCAAACTGTCACGCAATATGAATAAATTACAGCAATGATATGCAAATCTATAATTATAATGAACAACTTTAATCTAAAACAGCATGGAATATTACATGTCCTCTCTGCTCCTGGCAGCCAATATGCAAATACTATCTACACACTTTCCAGCACTAAAGTAATTCCCAACCTTTCATGTGTTATGTGTCCGTGCAGTTGTGGTCTAATAAAGGCTTTCTTCATGTTTCTATCCAGTCTGCGGCCAGACGAGCCGGCACCTGTTGTGCTAACTGTCAGACGACCACCACCACACTGTGGAGGCGCAACGGCAATGGAGACCCTGTGTGCAACGCCTGCGGCCTGTACTACAAGCTGCACAACGTAAGTCTTTCACTGCTAACCGCCTGGCCTGACCGACCGCCAGCCCTACCCACACTCAGCCAGCCAGGTCAAGTATATGGACAGGTTGCATTGATTAGAACGGGATAAGAAAGAGGGATAGGGAATGAGGGAGGGAGAGAGGGATGCATAGCTTGGCCCCTCAGACACACTGGGCCCCGTTGGTGTTTTCTTTCTTTGTGCTTTATTGTTTCCATGGTAGGCGTCATCCCCTTGAGACTCACAATGGTGGGACTGTTATTCTGACAGAACAACTGCGTCTGTTCAAATGAGGCACAACTGTTGAATGTTGAGCCTTGGTGTATTGCCATGTATTAAATTGAATATGGCCTAGTTTTAGGGAATAAGCTGCGTACCGTTTCTGCATGTTATTTTCAGAGTATTTTATTTATTTAGAAAAATAGGCAAATTAGTGTGTCTAGAGTTCTCATGACAAAAATATAGTTTTCAGGTAATATACAGTATGTCATTTCTGCACATAGTCCATTAAGCTCAAACATATTGAGTTGATTAAAAACCCTTACCACCATCCCAACCCGGTGACTCATCTCTCCCTCCAACCCCGTCTCCCTACAGGTAAACCGGCCTTTGACAATGAAGAAGGAAGGCATCCAGACACGCAACCGTAAGATGTCCAACAAGTCTAAGAAGGGCAGGCGGGGCGGCGACGGTTACGAGGAGATGTCCAAGTGCATGCACGACAAGTCCTCTCCTTTCAGTGCTGCCTCCCTGGCCGGACACATGACCCACATGGGCCACCTGCCACCCTTCAGCCACTCCGGACACATGTTGCCCACCCCCACACCCATACACCCATCCTTCGGCCACCCCCACCACTCCAACATGGTCACCGCCATGGGCTGAGCTGGGGAGGACAGGGAGGCACAGGGGAAGTGAAGGTTGTTCCGTTTTCTAATGGGGGTTGAGGGTCAGATAGGCCTCTTGCTTGAGGACAATGTATACTATGTGAAAGACATGCATTTGGTGTGTCTGTGTTGAGTGTCTTGTTGTATTCATGGGTTTCACATTGCGCCACAATATTGTTTTGAACGTTCATTTTAGGACTGATGCCCAACTGAGCATTATACTCAATGCATCCTCATTGGGCGTTGATGAAGATTCGGTTTAAAGTATATTACTGTGGCTTGAAAACACTATGACATTTCTAAAGAAGGCAAATAATTAGTAGGAAAACCTGTCATCATTTTGATGTCGTGAGATTGACTTTAGATCCAGTATAACGCTAGCTAGCTAGTTAAGATTGAGGGGAGACCTCCAGATTTTATCTAGCTAACGTTAGCATTGCTAGCTATTTTTGACAAACTTTGCTAGCTAATGACAACATTGCCATCTGTCTAAAGTACATTTGATAACATGATGATGATGGCAAAGTTGTTTTCTACTAAATATGTGCATACTTTAGCAATGTCATTGTATTCCCAAGCCCCTATGATGTAATTTGGACAAAAAAAGAATTAGCCCCTGTTCTACATTTGAGCATCAATATGGCTGTGGCGTCTGTAGATTGTTGATAACAATGGCAACGTGTGACGGAGGTGCAATCTATGAATAGAAAGGATGTAAAGGGTACAAGGGTGTCTGGGGAACCATGCAGCATCCACAGCATCCACTGATGTGTGGGGGTAGGGGGTCATTTTCCTTTCTATTAGGTACCTGCTTAGACCAGATATAGACTACACCTACACCCACCCCCATGCAAATACCGTCCCCTCCCACTTCTCCCCCGTCCTGCTGCAGTGGTACTGTATGTGCTGAGCAGGTCTCTAGTGAATGTGAATATTGTAAATGTGTGAGATACTTGGGTGGTGAAGACAGAGCAATTCCCTTCACACCGTTTAATAAATATATGCTGGATTTCTGCTCAATTACTTCTACTATTTTACATGAACATTACAAAGAAAAAAAGAAACAAGCAAAGTAAAAAAGTTTAAAAAGCTTAATTTGAAACAGTTTATTATTGTTGTTATTATTATTGTTATTTTTATTGTCATTCAGATAATTTATTTTATTTTTTCCTTTTTCTTTCACCTGAAACATTATGGATATTATTATCACCATTTCTATCATTATGAATATATTTTTTAGCTGAAGTGCTTTCTCTGAGCTGTTAAACATTTCCCTCTTCATGAAAATAAAGAAATCAAGTTTAATTCTGCCAACTGCCCCCTCTTTACATGATCCCCCCAAAATTGAGAGGGCTGTGTGTTTAAAATCTTCAGCAAGGAGACAGAGAGAGATACACAGAGCATAGAAATAGATTGAATAAAACAGATACCCTTGCCATTTCAGCTGCCATATTGGATACGTCATACAGAAACTGACGCCATTGTTGGAATAATAAGCTAATTTACACGTTAACACGAAGCAACAATCTGTTCTATCAATTCTATTTCTATGGGACAACCTTATTGACCTCTGTCCTGTTCTATGTTACCTAGGCCTCTGCTGTGTTGTCAGCATTGCCACGGTGATGGGCAGTAGCCTGTACCTCTCTGTTTCTCTGTGGTGTGTGTCTCTGTGTCACAGCACAGCTTTGATTTGCTGCCACTCTACCTAACAAGATAGAAAACCACACACCTGCTCGCTATTACCTGTTCAAAACCATTATAACCTGACAATCTGGATGCCATTACATACTGATGATAATAAAGAAACCTTGTAAACATGAATGAGACTTCTATGAGACTTATTTTTCCAATGAGAGATTCAGGAATCAACACATGCACACACACACACACACACACACACACACACACACACACACACACACACACACACACACACACACACACACACACACACACACACACACACACACACACACACACACACACACACACACACACACACACACACACACACACACACACACACACACACACACACGCACACACCTTATACTGTAGCATACACTGTGAATGGGAATGGGTAAGGAACCATAACACTAGCAACATGCCACTGCAGTATGGGATATATTCTGAACCAAAATATAAATGCAACATGCAACAATTTCAAAGATTTTACTGAGTTACAGTTTATATAAGGAAATCAGTTAATTGAAATAATTAAATGAGACCCTAATCTATGGATTTCACATCACTGGGAATACAGATATGCATCTGTTGGTCACAGACACCTACAAAAAAAGGTAGGGGCGTCGGTCAGAAAATCAGTCAGTATCTGGTGTGACCACAATTTACCTCATGCAGCGCGACACATCTCCTTCACATAGTATTGATCAGGCTGTTGATTGTGGCCTGTGGAATGTTGTCCCACTCCTCTTCAATGGCTGTGCGAAGTTGCTGGATATCGACGGGAACTGAAACATGCTGTCGTACACGTTGATCCAGAGCATCCCAAACATGCTCAATGGGTGACATGTCTGGTGAGTATGCAGGCCATGGAAGAAGTAGGACATTTTCAACTTTCAGGATTTGTATACAGATCCTTGCAACATGGGGCAGTGCATTATCATGCTGAAACATGAGGTGATGACGGCAGATGAATGGCACGACAATGGGCCTCAAGATCTCGTCATGGTATCTCTGTGCATTCAAATTGCCATCGATAAAATGCAATTGTTCGTTGTCCGTAGCTTATGCCTGCTCAAACCATAACCACACCTCCACAATGGGGCACTCTATTCACAACGTTGACATCAGCAAACCGCTCGCCCACAAGTGGTCTGTGGTTGTGAGGCCGGTTGGACGTACTGCCAAAAAGACATCTGTGAAATTGTGTTGTGTGACAAAACTGCACATTTTAGAGTGGCTTTTTATTGTCCCCAGCACAAGGTGCACCTGTGTAATGATCATGCTGATTAATAAGCTTCTTGATATGCCACAGCTGTCAGGTGGATGGATTATCTTGGCAAAGGAGAAATGCTCAACAGCAGGGATGTAAGCAAATTTGTGCACACAATTTGAGAGAAATAAGCTTTTTTCTCTCTGACATCTCTTTACACCTTGCATTTATATTAACATGTATATTAATGCCATAAGATCGGATGTGAAAAATCTGGCAAATCCAAAGACCAAACATGACACAGAAGACCTACAACTGATCTCCTTCTACCTGGATAGATGTATGCAACGTGTCATAACACATGATGCACCCAAAGTAATGAATACCTACCTGAGATTTCTCTCCAAAGAAACCATGTTTCTTAGAGAACACTTTGTCCTGATCCTCAGTGGATCATAGTCTCAGCCTACAGTAGTGCTACCTTAACCCCTCCCGGCATCAAATTATATCAATTCTCTAATTGACTTGCTGTCCTCCAAACATTTGGGACACGCAATGTTGACAGAATCGGAGAGGTTTGACCCACATGTTACATCTGCACTGTTACTCAACCGGCAGCATCGGTTCAGGGAAAAGACTAATTAAACTCATTGTGTAATAAGGCTCCTCTCTCCTCAGACAGTACCATGATGCCATCTTGGCCCTGTTCCTGGGAGCCATGTTGGTTCAGCCTTGCAGTCGACTCACAGAAACAGAATGAAAGTGTGTCTGTGAGGATGAGGATTATTATGAAAGCCACATGGGCCACAGACGGATGGGCTACAGGACAGGGGTCTCAGACAGCACACCGCAGGGGTCAACTTGAGTGCGAGCCCCTGAATCACCCTCCCTCCCCTCCTAACCTCCTTGACCTCTCACCTTGGAAGCACTTACACTGTCACTCTGCCAGACCCTCCCGCTCTCCACACACAGACATATTTACTGATCCTTTTAAAATGTCACGACTCCCCACAAAAATATGACGCTGCAAAACAGACACCTCCGTCGTAAAGAAGGAGAGATGAAAAGCATAGCGATAAAGGAAGAGTCGACTGGCAGGGTGAATCCCTAGGAGGGCCGGAGAGGTGAGGGGGGAGGGGGGTTGAGAGACGAGAGGAGTGGGTGGGCCTCTTAAATAAGTGGCCTTCGAGGTGTACAATACCTCCTCCCCTCCGCTCCCCTACATACCTCCTCCCCTCCGCTCCCCTACATACCTCCTCCCCTCCGCTCCCCTACATACCTCCTCCTCCATTAGTTTTTCCATCAAACTCAATTAATGGAATCAAAAGCTGGGCCAGGCTGGACTTCAGAGGGACCAGTTAAAGGAGAGATGGAAAGAAAGAAGATGAAAGAGGAAGCAGCTTGGTTCAGTTCAGCCCATGGTACCTTTTGGTGGGTTGGGGTTAGGGTGGGTGGGAGTTAGGGTTTGGGGGACGGTGTCCACATAGAGATGCCAACATTTGGCAAAACAAAAGAAGTAAAGGAGAAGCATCATCAAAGAGCATCCACAGAACTACAGACAAACCACAGGCAATATGTGATGAGTGTGATAGAAGGAGTCAGGCGCAGGAGGGTAAATCACAGAATACAGAGTTTATTCCGTCGTACAATTGCGCTGGACACACGAAAACAGGCACAAGGGAAACTATCTACCCTGGCAATACATGGTACGGGATACTCCAACAATATACAGGCACAGGGGAAATATCTACCCCGGCAATACAAAGTGCGAGTAGCTCCACTGAGCTACACTACTCTCACAAATAACAATCACCCACAAGGACAAGGGGGGCATAGGGAACACTTATACACGAACTAATGAGGGGATAAGAACCAGGTGTGTGTAATTGACAAGACAAGACAAATGGAATGATGATATATGGAGCGGCAGTGGCTAGTAAGCCGGTGACGACGAACGCCGAAGCCTGCCCGAACAAGGAGGGGAGGCAGCCTCGGAGGAAGTCGTGACACAATAACTCATAGTAAATGAAGGTTCCCAAGCTGTTCGTTTTCCAAACCATTATAGCTCATAGATTAGTGTTCAGTGGGTACCCAGGCTT